TATTATTATTAATTTAATAATATGTTATTTGATTAACATTGGGGTTTGAGGGTTTTTTGTCATGAGTTCTTTACTTCTTGATAGACTCTAGGATGGGAATCCCATTCCACCAAGAATGGAAATCGGAATTCCATTCCAACAAAACAAATGGTAGAAAACGGAATAAGTTATAATTATAGGTACCTATCCCAGGGAACCAAACAGACCCCTAGTATTTGGTAAAAAAAATATTGACATAGTCGAAGATAATCAGACCCAAGCTTTTGAACTGATGATTCATTTGACCAAGCCAATAGGCCATGTGTTGCATATTAAATGTATATGCAAACATTTGGAGGCCATAATTTTGCACTTAAATGTCTAATTGGGGAGATCTTTTCTTGACTTTGGGTATAACATTTGCATATCTATATGTCCCAAGGGCAAAAGGTGCCTTGCCTTGATATTTCTCAAAAAAAAAAAAAAAAATTGGCCTCAAATCATAATTTTTAATTTTTTTTTACAAATAAAAATTAAAACTGAATTAAAAATATAAATTTAAGATAAAATAATGCATATATTACATGTAATATATAAATTATGCATTAAGTATTTTAAATATTTAAGTAATATTTAAAAAAATTTTAACATTTAACATTGATAAAGTAAAATAAATAAAATAGAGCACTAATAGATAATATGGAAAAATAATTATTTCATTAAGTAACTAGCAATAATTTATTATTTTTATTAAAAATATTAATATAATTTATCCAAAATACCAAATTACTAAATTAATTTTATAAAAAATCACTAAAATAAAGATTAATTATTTTAAAAAACATTGCATTCCTTCCTTATAATAGTTATCAATTTCTATCGTTTTACTTTCCCTTGACAAATCTGTGTATTGCATCAGTTCCTCCTATTGTATTTGAAGAAATGTTGATTTATTGCAACATTTTCCAATGAAATAGGTTTTCAAAATTTGGATTTTTTGAACATGATGGTTGTTCAACGGGCTGTGAACCAATGATAAGGTTCCATGCTAGTAATAAAATACATGGGGCCCACATCTTTTATAGTGGGAACCATGAAATTATTACTAGCATGGAACCTCATCAATGGTTCCATAGCCCGTTGAACAACCATCATGTTTAGCTAATCCAAGTTCATTGCAGCTTTGTATTGGGAGCATCTTTCGATTGAGGACAACATGCAAATATGTTCTTGATGTTTGGTTTTAAAGTCTATGAGGTTGGTGTGAGTAGCGTTTTGTAAGGAGCAATTCCGGTCTCCATCTTCACATGATGGAGAAAGGTTTTAAAAACTGACTCGAAAACAGAACCACTTTGGCCACTAGTTTCTAGGTCAACGGTTTGATCATCCAGGTCAAACAGTTCAAGCGGTGTGAGGTATTTAAGCCTTGGATTAGAATGTTAAGGTAAAAGGTTATGAGAAAAGAGAGGGGTGGGTAGTTGTTGGGTGAGGAAAGAAAGAAAAAAAGTGAAAGACAGAAAGTGAATGGAAGGGACATCCATCTATGGATCGCCGAACCATGCAGGGTAGCTGGGCGAAATTTCAAAAATTTATTTCTCCTTTTCGAGAATCCTATTCCTTGTTTCAGAAAAACTGCATTTTTCAAGGTTCATTCTTGAAACAAATCGGACCAAATCTGAAACCAAGATTAGGGAGAGGTATACCTGATACGAAATCCACACAAAAGCTCCTCCCAATGTAGGTGTCACGCCCAAAGAGGTTACCAAATCCTTCATCCACTGAAGATGACACAGCTTAGGGTGAGGAAGAATCAACAAAGAGTTCTTCAGCAAGAACCTCCGATTCTTCAACAAGAATTGAACAAGGAAGTGAGCACAACTTCAAAATTGTTTCTTCCACCAAGAAACAATATCAAGATCCAATCTTGATCACTCCATGAGGTGGATATTGAACAGTGTAGGGCGGAAAGAGCAGAGGGAAAGAGAACTAAATGTAGAAAATAGTGGAACTGTGTAACCTTTCTCAGTTCGTCAACCTCTTTATATATAACCCTTAAAGAGTTAACCTCATAATCTAATTAGGAGTTTCTTGATCCAAATCTTTATTTGGATCCGAACTCTTTAAGTGATTAGGCTTATCCCTTATTTTATCTACAGATCAAGATCAACTACTCCTAATCAAACTAGAAGTTTCCTAATCCAAATCTTTATTTGGACCTGGACTCTTTAAGTGGATAAACCTAGTTCGAATTGGGCTTTGGGCCCATTAAGCTTTTAGGCTCATTTCCCTTTAAGTGCTGGCTAGTTTGGTTCTCTTTGTATGGCATGGGACCCTATCATTGATCTCCACATCAGCCACATGGGTTTAGCCTAGCCTCTGTTACAAGGCCTGATCGAATTCACTATTAAATACAGTGAACCCCTGAGTTCATCAATATGGGCTCTTATGGGCCCAACATTTACACTAAATGGTCATTGGGTCCAACCATCTTATGAAGGCCCAAGAATTGTAGGCAGCTGCAAGATTAGCCCATCAGGTATTACCCTCAATTATCTTACACTTAACCTCTCAGCCCATAATGATCAAACACTGCTCGACAAGAGAGAACCTCTCCCTCGGCTACAATGTACAGTGTTGCACTCTTTGCTCACATGGATCTCGGGAATTAAAACATTTTGCAAACATTTTGTGAAACCATAATATATATGTATATCTCTATATATTTTGCAAAACAAATCTCAACAAGTTTGAAATCAACTGCCGGCAATTTAAGTTTTCATCAGAGAGAGTGCATTCCCCAATCATTCACTTTGTCCGACAAATGGGCTGATTCTGTTATTATGATCACCCACTTAGGTGAATTTTCAAACTACCCCAACATACCCAGGTTTTGACCCCCACTAAGGATCTCATTGATTGGCATATCAAAGATAACCCAATTGGGCACCTAGTGCAGTACCATAATCGAGTCTAGGGGTCAGGTGTAACATTCTTGTTTTGCCCATCTGTCCCCAAGGTCTAGAGGGTAATACTGGAATTTGGTCTAGTTCAGGGTTTCAAGAAAACCTATACTGCATGTGCCTTAGGTCGCATCTTGGCAGCTGAGACAAGCTACCCCAACCCACTTGGCAGCACATCAGTGTCAGCCTTGATAGAATAAACCTCCCCAGGTCTATCCAACGACTGTGAAGATTCTAAACTACCACGATTCTCACAAGTGTTCAGTTTAAGGGTATTACACAAAAACACACCACAATAACATGGATCAATTATGCACTTTATTTATTTACAATAAATGTCAATAAGTACATTAATCTAATTGGAGCTAAGGCCATACATTGTCTAACAGAAAAGAAGGATAGAAGAAGAAGAAGAAGAAGAAGAAAAAGGAGAAGGATGAGACTACACTTGTTGGTGGTGATACCAACGATGGCAGTGGTGGCAACAGATCTAAAATGGTGACATTTCTCTCCAACCTGTTTAGATCTTTCTCATTATTTGATTTCAGACTTGAGATATGAGGTCTTCTCTTTCTCTCTCAAATATGAGATTTTGTCTCAATCCCTCCCCCATTTCTCGATCTCTTCTTTTCTCTCTTAATTTTTATTAAAAAAAACTATTTTCATTAAACTATGAACCACTACTCGAGTCGAACAATTTAACAGTTTGATTGCCTGAATCAACAATTCTCAGACCATTTCAATAGTTTTTTTTTTTTTTTTTTTTTTTTTTTTGTAAAACAACTATTAAAGGGCAAAACGAAACTGGTGAGTTGGCGATTCTTGGGTCAAACTATTCAATCGTCTGGTCTGGTCTAATTTTTAAAACTGTGTGCTGGAGAGCTCAATTTAAATATTTTTAGTTCTTATATGGCCTATATAGGCTGTATATGGGTGGAGAAGAAAACCAATATGACCTGGAAAATGTAAAAAGCGAGGGTCACTCGAATCCAATGACAAAACACACATATGATTTCATAAGCTTTAAAGTCTTAAGGCCATGTTTGGTTCACAACTCTAGGCCTCATTCTTTTAATTCTTGCTCATTCTAGGTAAGACTGGGTAGGAATGAATAACATTAAAGTGTTTGGTTACAAAATTCCTGCCATGGGCCACATTCTTTTTAAAATAAAAAATCAGCCCCATAACACAAAAATTGAGTAGCCTACAGCATGAAAAATAATTATGCCCCATCTTGCTCATTTTCATTTTTTGAGATAACTTTGCTTACAAAATTGCTACCATAGATGTTACTTTTGCGAAGACACTTTTTCAAAAGTACTTTCACGAAAAAACTTTTATAAAAGTACTTTTACGAAAGCACTTTTATGAAAGCACTTTTATAAAAACACAATAACGAAAGTACTTTTATAAAAGCACTTTTTTGGTAGTAATTTTATGAAAGTACATTTTTAAAAGCACTTTTATAAAAGCAATTTTACAAAAGTACTTTAACAGAACATCTTTGTCAACTGATAAACATTGACCATCGGCCATCCTAGGCTAGCGGTTTATGAATACTAGCACCGTTGATTATTGGCCATCCTAGGCTAGCAGTTTATGAATACTAGCACCATTTTTTAATGAAAATGAGTAACATAGGACACATGTTAGTCTGAAAAGAATTCATTTTTAAGAAAAATGTGTTTGATTCATAGCAATATTTTTTCACTCTACTTATTTTTACTCAATCTTGTCCATTTTAAAAATTCATCTTAAATAAGAATGAGAAAAAATGAAAATTGAAAGATACATGGCCTTAATTCTTGGAAGTTAAGGCCCTATTTGGTAATGTTMCTTGAGAACATTTCACGCATTCTCGGTGGAGCATAAATATGTTTGGTACAATAAAAACAAAAAAGTACCTTGTTCTCACGTGAGAACAACACCCAAATTCCGTGTTCTTTGGGAGTGAAAAATCGATTATCCCAAAGAATGCGTTCGCAGGGGTGTTTTGGGTTTTTCGCACTAAATAATAGAAAACCCTGCTAACCTTTCTCTCGATTGTGAACTCCTCCAAAACTTGCTGCTGCAGATCTCAGAGGAAGGAGGATCTTGGCTTGGCTCCAACCGAATAGCAAGTGGAATAGATCGACGAGCAGACCACACCAACGAGTGGAACACACCGGCGAGCATCAATAGGTGTGGCCTTTGGCATCTGTTTTAAACTCTAACCAGATTCACCTCTGAAATCGTTGTTTGGTCCCACCGCATTAACAAAGTCTATTACAACCATTAATGTTATGTGAAATTGACATCTCATCACTCATCTTACTAACGTTGCCATTTGGACCAGTTTTCTTGCTCAAATTCTCTTCTTCCCTGGCAGATGTAATGTTCCCTCTCTGTGTCATGTTTGATGAAGCTCGCACACCGTCAGGTAGGTTTTTATATATATATATATATATATATATATATATATATATATATATATATATATATATATATATATATATATATATATATGTTTTTTGGAATTTATTATATATGTTTTTTACTCCCACCGCAAACCCAAGTTCTTATCGCAAACCCAATCATTTACAAGTTATGTTTGGTTTGTTACAAAGAGGTGATTGATGCCTAGGCTGTTCAGAATTGCTTGATGGTGATGACTTGTCTTGGTTATTCTATTCCTTTTTTTTCAGTGAAGCATTGATACTTTGTTTTATTGATCAGCATCTTTTAAAATGAGTTGCCTTGGACTCCATATTTGGTGGGATATAGTAGTAATTCCAAATGGATGTAAATGGTTGACCATAGTAGTGATGTGGGCATCAAATTCCATCTATGGTTGGAATTTTTCAATGAAACGTTGTAGGTAATTTTCCCTAGATGGATGTAAATGCTTAACCAAGTTTGGTGTAGTTTCGAGTTTGTCTTGCACAAGGATGAAAATTCTAGGTTGTGAAGTAACATAAAAAATTATGAAATCAAGAGATGAGATTTGGCGTGATGAAAGGTTATAAGTATCTATGGGGTTCATCCTACATCACTAGGTTTAATATTGTTGGAGGAGAAGAGAGTAGAAGATAGTGGTAGATTAGAGAGATAAATAGGAGAAAATCAGGATCTTTGAAAAATTCTATTTTTCATTTTTTCATTAGGGAGAGATGGTAAAAAAATATGCCTAGCTTAATTAGGAATATGGTTTGGGTTAATGTCTGCCGTGATTATGAAATGCTACGACATACCCTATTAAGAGAAACCAAAGCCACTGCAGCTTCTAATTTATTTATTTATTTTTGATAAATTGCAGCTTCTAATTTATTGACCATTGACTTTAAAATTTTGAATGAACTTCAATAATGACCAGACCCCACATCAAGGATATAAAGATGACTCATGAGTTACTCCTATAAACCAAAATTTATAAAAACAAGGAAAAAACAAAAATTCCTAGACTCTAATGTGGATGCAACCTTGTTATTGTATCTTAATGAAAATTTCTGCTTACCATCAATTTGTGAGCATTACTATTTTTCTTGTTCAATGGATTAAGTTCCATACAAAAAACAAGTCTGATTTTTTTATCAACTGAAAGTTAATTATAATTTCTGAAACAATATGATGCAAATCGGATGGAACAAGCTCCCACACCCATCATGACCGAAAGTTGATTTCAGCTGATGGGCATTTCAGATCTCAATTTTTTTTATGATCAACTGATAGTTGACTATAATGACCAAAACAAACTTATGAAAATCAGCTGAAACAAGCTCATACACCCATCATGACCAAAAGTTGATTTCAGCTGATGGGGATTTTAGTTCTCAATTTTCTTTGTTGATTATAAGGACTAAAACAAGCTTATGCAAATCGGTTAATTATAATGTCTGAAATAGTGGGTATTTTTTATTTAGTTATGCAGAATATCTAGTGAGATAAGCTGGTATTGGTGGACAAAAGGGTCAAAACTTTATGTTATTAGTTAATTTTTATTGGATTTTTGTAACATTTCTATGGTAGTTTTTGGCACGTCGTGTTGTAACTTCTCTATTAGAATGTTTCTAGAACTGTGGAGTAATTTGTGATGGGTTTATAAACAGATGGCATCAAGTCAAAAAGGGAAGGAGATTGCTCCAAGTCAGGCTGATGATGAAAAGGGCAAGTGTTATGATGTAGCAAGATGGAGTGTGAGAGACAAGAGGGTATTCATCACCTTAATGCACGAAGAGTTCAAGGGAAACCGACCAACCACAACCTTCAACAAAGTTGGTTGGAATGTCATTAGGAAGCAATTTCGTAAGAAGACTGGTAATGATTATTTAGGCACGCAGTTTAGAAACAAATTTAACAAGCTGAGATTGGTGTATAGGGAATTTAGAAGTTACTTAAGCACACTAGGTTTGGATATAACCGGATCACTCGTACGTGATGCATATATCAGGGTAGGTGAATTTGTTTTGATTTTTCTTTTTCTTAATAATACAAGTCACTGATTGGGTTCATAGATAGACAATTTATGATGAAATATTGTATGTTATCATAGACTTCAGGACCACCTGAAGGCAAAGCAATTTCGCACTGCTGATTGTCCCATGTGGCCGGAGCTATGTGATATTTATGGTGATACAACTGTTGTGGGTGGGATAACTCTATCTACTGCGCAGGGAGATGTAAAMACTAATCATGAAGAAGCTGATGAAGATAGTGATAAAGCTTCATTTGTTGATGGATTAGAAAGCGTTCCAATGACTCTATTGCATGACTCCACACAAGATCTACCTACAATTAATGATGGGTGTATCTGAGATAGATGATGGGTGTGGAACAAGATTCCTAATATAATGTCAGACCCAAAGAAAGAAAGTGCGAGAAACGCACCACAAATAAAGCCATAGTTGAAATATGCCAGGCTTTCACAACTTACATTAGACAGAAGACAATCGGCATTGTGGGTGGATCCAAAGAGATAGTGATTCCAGATTTCTCTATAAGCAAGTGTCAAGAAATTCTTCGAAGTGTGGAAGGTTTGAGCAAGCAAATTATACATGAGGGCAATCAAGCGGATGCAAGATCAGAATTGGAGGAAAACATTTATTACTGTTGAAAGCTTTTATTTTCCCAAGTATAGTACCGTAGGGGTACTATTGTAGTTTTACCCTTTTATTATTTTAGTATATATAACAAATAGACCTGTTCATGGGCCGGGCCGGGTCGGGTCGGGCTTGGCCCGAGCCTCAGCCCGGCCTGACCATCGAGCCTACAACTTGGGTCCGAGCCCGAAATTTAGCCCATACTGTTACTACTGCTGAAGTGGTTGAATAGAGAGAGAGAGAGAGAGAAATTATAAAGAAAAGAATAAAAAATGTATATATTAAATTNTACTGCTGAAGTGGTTGAATAGAGAGAGAGAGAGAGAGAAATTATAAAGAAAAGAATAAAAAATGTATATATTAAATTATAAATATATATTTTAATAAATATTATTTTATTTATATATTTTATATAATATATAAAATACATATTATATATTTTATAAAATATATAATATTGAATTGGGCCAGGCCAGGCTTGGGTTGGGCTTTTTTGACAAATCCCGAGCTCGACCTGAAACACAGTTGGGCTTACTGTGTTAGGCCCGAGGTCAAGTCCGCATGCCTAATTACATGACCAAGCCCGATTGGGGTGCGGGCCGGGCTGGGTCGGGCCATCGGACTACCCGACCCATGAATAGGTCTAATAACAAAATAGCTGGCGCTACCAAGAGGCTTTTTGAATCTCAATCTTTTCTCCTCTCTTCTCTCTCTCTCTTCTCTTCTCCTCTTCTCCTTTCTTCCATTACTAATAACATGGTATCAGAGCGGGACTATCAGATCTGAAAGGAGAAGTCGAGTGAATAGTTTTCTTCGCACCAGATTTCTAGATCTGTCGCCCTCATCTATTGTTTGGTTGGTTGAAGATCTTACGCATTAAAGTAACTTTTCTCCCTCTCATTTTTTCTGGTTGTGTGCCAGGGCAGAACATGTACTAGGTCTGCTGATTGGATTTGAGGCGATTCGCACCTCTTTCTTTCATTTTTTGTGGGGTCGGCTGATCCCTATAAAACTGTAGGTCGTGAGGACCTTTTGTGTGCTGCAACAACAGCTTTTATGGTGAACTAGAGGTCAGAAAGTGACCTATACTTGCTGTAATAGATTTTGTGTGCTGCAACAACAGTTTCTATGGTGAACTGAAGGTCAAAAAGTGACCTGTACTTGCTATAACAACCTTCCTGYGTAAGTCAATAGATGACTTGTATGCACTGTGGCAACACTTGTGTTAATTCTATAAGTCAAAGGATGACCTTTTAATGTTGTAACAACACCTGTGTTTTATAGAAAAGAGGTGTGTTTCTGAAGAAAAAAGGGGTTTTCCTTTCTCCTTCAGTGTTAGGATTTTTTTTAAGGTTGTGTACCCCCTTTAAGAATGTTTTATTGAATCTGAAATCATGAGTGGTGAAGATCCAATGTTTCCTTAATGCCAAATGGAATGAGTGGGGGTGCGGACCTATCCTTTCCCATGGTTGTTATTCCTCTCAACGGTTTAAATTATTAGGAATGGTCAAGAGGGATCAAATTGTACTTTACTACAAGGGGAAAGATAGGTTATATAAATGGGAGAATCAAATAACCCAATTCTAAATATACATGGGTATATTCCATGCGGACAAGGGATGAAATATAAAAAATTATCCAAGATTTTCAGCAGATGATCTTCACCCAATTTCAAGTTGAAATCCAAAATTTTCAATTAGATAATGCCAAAGTGTATTTTTATAGTGATTTCATAGAATTTTTTGCTTCATGTGGTTCAATTCACCATAGCTCTTGTGCTCGAATACTACAACAAAATGGTATTGCCGAAAGAAAGAACTAACACCTCCTTGAAGTGGCCTAGGCTTTATTAATCCATATGAATGTCTCAAAACGATTTTGGCTTTAGGCTGTCTTTTGTGCCACCTATCTCATCAACTGTATGCCCTCTCGTTGGTTAGAGTACAAAGCCCCACTTTAACTTCTTTTTCCTAAGGCTCCCATTATTTTCATTCCTCATCGTGTGTTTGGTTGTTATTGTTTTGTCCAAAATTTGTCACCTACTCGTGGAAAATTAGACCCTCGCTCTATTCTTTGCATCTTCCTGGGGTATTCTTTCATTCAAAAGGGATACCGTTGTTTTGATCCTGTTTGTTAGAAGTTTTATGTTTTCATGGACATTTCTTTCTTTGAGAGTGAGCATTTWTTCCATTTTTCTCCTCAAGGGGAGTGTAGGAATGAGGAGAAACTAATTCAGATCTCTCATCTTCATGATCTTCCTCTTTTTCGTGTCTTCTTTCGTCGTCACAAAGGCTAATCAAATTCAAAAGTTGTGGAGAACCTAAAAGCTGTACCCTCAATGCCATCAAACTCTCCGAGGGTGGATCATACTCACTCAGGTATCTTGGTTCCTATCGATGTCCCTGACCCTATTGCTATTGATACCTCTGTTGCTAATGACCTTGACCTTCTTATTGCTTACGGGAAAAGTGTTAGATCTTGCACCACTAAACACCCTATTTCCCACTTTGTTTGCTATGAAAACATCACCCTCTTTTCGGGCCTTTCTCACTTCCATTGATAGTGTACTTATCTCCAAGAATGCAGTAGAAACTCTTTCAGTACYTAAATGGACAGATGCTATGAAGGAAGAAATTAATGCTCTACATAAAAATAGCATATGGGAACTAGTAGATCTTCCTAAGGGAAATGATCCAATTGGATGTAAATGGGTGTTTACAGTCAAACATAGGGCTGATGGCACGGTGGAGAGGTATAAAGCTCGTTTAGTGGCAAAAGGGTTTACACAAGTGTATAGAGTTAATTATGTAGAGACTTTTGCACCCATTGCCAAGATGAACTCCATTAGAGTCATGTTCTCCCTTGTTGCTAATCTTGACTGGTATCTACATCAGCTTGATATCAAGAATGCATTCCTGAATGGTGACCTTGAAGAGAAAGTTTACATGGCACAACCCCCTAGTTTTCGGGCACAAGGCAATGAACAGAAAGTGTGCAGGTTGAAAAAATCATTATACAGGCTGAAACAATCATCGAGAGCTTGATTTAGTAGGTTCCATGCAACGGTTAAGAAGAAATGATACAAGCAGTGTCAATTTGATCACACATTGTTTGTTAAAAGAGGGGAAGGAAAAATTGTTGCTTTGATAGTATATGTTGATGATATAATTATCATTGGTGATTGGAAGGATGAAATCCAAAAGTTGAAGATTTTTCTTGCTACACAGTTTGAAGTAAAGGATCTAAGTCCTCTAAGATACTTCATTGGAATTGAAGTTGTTCGCTCACAAAAATGGTATCTTCATTTCCCAAAGGAAGCATGTCCTAGATCTACTCCAAGATATAGGAAAATTGGGAGTGAAGCTAGTTGATTCCCCTATTGATTCTAACCACAGATTAGGTGACTGCCAAGGTGAACCTATCAAGGATGTGAAACAGTTTYAGGGGCTTATAGGAAGATTGTTATTTCTTTCTATGACCCGCCCTGACATTGCTTATACAGTTAGTGTTCTTAGCCAGTTCATGCATGCTCCCAAGACCACTCACCTTGAAGTAGTAGAAAGGGTTTTCAGATATCTTAAGAAGTTCCCAGATGTTGGTTTGTTGTTTCAAAAGCACGAACATTTGAAAGTTGAAATGTACACTGATGCAGATTAGGCAAGATCCCTAAATGACAAAAAGTCAACTAGTGGCTATTGTACCTTCATAGGAGGAAATTTAATTACCTGGAGAAGCAAAAAGAAGAATGTGGTAGCTAGATCTAGTGCTGAAGTTGAATATCGGGCAATGGCTCATGGAGTGGTTGAAATTATGTGGCTAAAGAATTTGTTAAGTGAGTTGGGTTTTCTAGTGAACAGACTTATGACCCTATTCTGTAATAACAAAACAGCCATAAACATTGTTGCTAATCCAGTGCTGCCTGATAGAACTAAGCACATCGAAGTCGACAAACACTTTATCAGAGAGAGTTGTCACAGGGGGAATGTGTATTCCTTATGTCAGCTCTGAGGATCAACTTGTAGACGTTTTTACAAAAGGGCTACACCACTCACGACATCATGATTTATGTGACAAGTTGGGCATGATTGACATATATGTCCCAACTTGAGAGGGAGTGTTGAAAACTTTTATTTTCCTAATATAGTACCACATGGGTACTATTGTACTTTTACCCTTTTATTATTTTTGTTGTTGTCGCCCTAGTATATATAACAAAATAGCTGGTGCCGCCAACAGGGCTTTTGACTCTCAATCTTTTGTCCTCTCTTCTGTTCTCTCTCTCTTCTCTCTTCTCCTCTTCTCCTCTCTTCCATCACTAATAACATTTATTACTATTGAAGAGGACAAAAGAATTTGGTTATTGGAGTAGGAGGATTAGATATGTTCTAAACTTGTTTTTGTTATGTTTTGTTGAACTTAAAACCTATGGTGTTAACTATTTCAAGCTATAGCATGAAATAGCTTGTGGTTAATGGTGCTTATTTTCAAACAAATTTTGAGTTTATCTTTATATTTTTAGTGAAATGTTTTATGTGATATTTTATTCATAAATCAACAAGATGAACCACAATAATGTTTCTCTTTGATGATAATGATGAGGTGATTGAGTTATTTTACATATTCTTGACAAATATCATTTGGCATCATGAAAATTAAATGAATAAAGAGCCAAAAAGAATATATTCGGATAAAGGTATGAGGTATATTTTCACAGTGCTTAATGGACACCATGAAAGGTGCCAAGATGGTTTTAGGATGGATCCTTACATGTTCATTAACTTGTGTAAAATTTTAAGGGAGAATGAGTTATTGAAAGATTCTAGGTTTGTATCAGTGGAGGAGCATATGGGAATTTTTTTGTTGATAATGTGCTATCGATTATCCAATAGGATGGTAGCTGATTTTTGGCAGCACTCTAGTGAGACAATTTACCATCATTTCAAGGATGTGTTGAATGCAATTGTCAAACTGGCACGCGATCTTATAACACCCCTACTACATTTAACACTCCTTCGGAGATTGCTACCAATCCTAAGTTGTATCCATTCTTCAAAGTAAGACAATATGCACATTTAATATCATGATTATTAAGACTCATACCATATCACTGATATTCGAGTTAATTGTTCTCTATCATTTTTTAGGATTGTATTAGTGCCATAGATGGGACACATATTCATGCAAGTGTGTAAGCAAACCAACAAATCCCGTATCGTGGTAGGAAGCAAACTACCACACAAAATGTATGATATGCGCTTTACATTTGTGTATGCGGAATGGGAAGGCTCCACTAATGATTCATGTGTTCTTTTGGAAACACTAACTACAACTAGTGTCGATTTTCCTCTCGCACCACAAGGTAAAATTTTTCACATTTTTTGGATTTTCATCAAATGTGATAAATATTTAGTTGTGTATTTTATTACAATAGGAAAATACTATCTTACTGATTTGGAGTTCCCTAGCCAAATTGACTTTCTTGTGCCATTTCGAGGAGAGAGATACCACTTGTCCGACTTTCGAAGACAAAGACATCTAAGGGGTGCGAGAGAGTAGTTTAACTACTGGCATTCAAGCTTGTGTAACTGTATAGAACGGTGTTTTGGTGTTCTGAAAGCAAGATTTCCAATCTTAAAACTCATGCCATCATTTTCTTTGAGAACACGGTGCAAGATAGTGGTAATTGCATGTGTGATTCATAATTTTGTTTGAGGTGAAATTAAGAGAGATAAGATTGATGATGATCTTTTTAATGAATATGGGAATGATAATCTTGAAGTGAAAGAAGATCCAAATGATGGACATCAACCGGTCAATAATGAAGTGAATGCAGATAATGTGTCAAAATGACAAAACTTCAACGAGAAATTGCAAATCAAATAGATGATTTAATCAGATGGCCTAGGATATAGTTTGGTTTCCTTATTTTGCATTGTTTGTTATGGATAGTGTAACAATGACTAGCAAAATGGCACTTTGGTTATGATTTATGAATGGATTGTGTATATGATACTTTGCTACGAAACATTTGATAACCTCTACATGTATTGTGCTTGTATTTGTTTTGCTTTTTTTTTTTATGAAGTATGGAAGTCAAGAATCAACACCCAATTTGTGCTTGTGGACGTGGCTGGATGCATCTATTTATGACAAAAATGAAAAGAAATTATGGACGGTGGTTCTATCGATGCCCTACTAGAATAGTACATCTCTTATCGATTATGTGTTTTTTGTTATGAAATATTTTGGATATTTAATAATAAAAGTTTTTTTATAAGCAGGCAAACAGAAATGACTTCATTTGGGTAGACCAATTCATGCCCCGTGATGGTGGAAGACATGTTGAAGTGCAAAAAGAACCAAGCAAAGAATGACATGTATTGTTGCATCATGGCATGTGTTGTTGCCATGCCATGATGGCATGTTGTTACCATTACTACTTGCGGGTGCTGTTGTATCATGGCATGTTGGGTTTTTGTTTTATTACTTATATGTTTTGTTTTGATCCTCAAGTAATTAAGGATTAGGTGGTGATAATATAAAGACATCGTTATGACAATGGCATGTGTTTTTTATGGTTAAAGTTTTAGGTTTAATGTGGATAGGTTTGCAAAACTGATGTTAAGAAATAGTTTCATTATCCAAATGATATTTTTGTTCCTATAAAACAAAAAATTCTCGAAAAACCATTTGTCAAACATATCTATTAATCTTAAGGAACAATAAATAAAATTCTTATTTTGAAATAGGAATTTCTAAAAGAATAGGAGGGTCGGGTTTGACTCGGGTCGGTATCGGGTTTTGACTTAGTGTGTAGGAGGGTCGGGTTCAGCTCGAGGCAAACCAGTGCCGAGTTCAATACGTTGACATTTGTGTGCTGCGTTCATTTAAACCGAGTTTTGGAAGTAGGAGAATAATCGAAACGGTTTCTCGGAACTTTCGATTCCGCGGTTCCTTCACGCGGAAATCGAAAGCTTCCGATATAGACTATCCAAATCTCGGATGAAAAGTCGGAGATTTGGATTTACTCCGTGAAATTCGTTTGTAGAATCTTTCTTTGTTCTCTCTGTCGCGTTCTTTCGATTCGATGGGAACTCCTATGTTTCCCAATCTCGGCCAGCATTGCAGCGTCGACGATTGTAAGCAAATTGATTTCTTGCCGTTTACCTGCGATCGATGCAAACAGGTTCCATCCTTTTTCTTGTCTGTCGATCTTTAGAGTTCGTTCTTTTTCACCAACTCTATTCTTATTGATACCTGTTGAGGGTTTTCAATTGTATAGAGTGTTCTTGATTTTCTGATGGGCTAGGTTTTGTCGCCAAACCGGTTTGAAGTTGTTTTTTAATTGAAATGCTATTTTTTTTAGTTTGGTTAACGCTGATGGAATTTTGTGGGGAATCTACTGGATTTTTTTTTTTTTTTTTTTTTTTATGAATGAATCTACCAGAAAATTTCAATAATTGTTTATGCTCCAGTTCATTTTGATTTTCATAGCACTGGCCACTGCCATATTATTCCTGGTAAAATGAATCTTTAGACCTTTACAACCATTCATTCATCGAAAAAAAAAATCTTTAGACCTTTACACGATACAAAATTGTTTTGCTTCAATCAATGCTAGTTGTAAATAGACTCGTGGACTGGAATTACGAATTGTGAGAACACATGATTCTATTCGGTTTGAACTCTTACATGAAGTCCCGAAAGCTCTTAAGTGATACAGGAGCATTCAAGTCAGTTCAACTAATGTAAATTCTGGTATGCAAATTTGGTTCACTTCAACCAATGTTAATTGCAAATGGACTGATGGGCGGGAATCAAGAGCTGTGGGAACACATGATTCTATTCAATTTCAACTCTAACATGAAGTCGTAAAAACTTTTCAGTGATACAGGAGCATTGAAGTCTATTCAATCGACTTATTCCTTACTTCGGAGTTTTCCTTTCTTTAATCTCGTCATTTAGAAACTAATCTTGTGTATAGAGAACCGCCTTTGTTCTTCCTAATTTTAATAGAAAGGAAAAAGCTGCGATAGTTCCTACCTGCTTCCCCTTACCTCAATCATCTCCTCCGTTCTTTAATCCCCTCATTTAGAGCCTAATCTTGTTTAAAGAGAACCACCTTTGTTCTTTCTAATTATAATAGAAAGGAAAAGCTGCAATAGTTCCCTACGTCGCTTACCCTTACCACAATCACCTCTTCCTTTCTCTAATCCCCTCATTTAGAGACTTATATTGTGTATAGAGTAAGGCTGCAACTTGGGCCAGGTTGGCCTGAACCCAACCTGAAAAAGTTGGGTTGGGTTGGGTCGTTTTGATGCTTGGGTTAGGGTTAGGATTGAAATTTATGAGCCTGACTTTACTTTGGGCTTGATTATGGTTGACCTCTACCCGAAATAGACAGGTTGGGTAGGGTCGTGTTGATGCTCGGGTTAGGATTAGGGTTAGGGTTAGGGTTGAAATTTATGAACCTGACTTCAGGTTGGGTTGGGTTGACCTCTAGGGCAATCCGAACCCAACTCATATTGATTTGTTTAGATGCATGATAGTTGTATAGCCCCCACCACGTACTATCATTTATTTCTTTTAATATAATCACTTCACTTAATGCTAATTGAAAATGCTAAAACCTTAGTAACATATTTTATGTTTTTTGAATATTTTATTCTTTATCTCCTCTTAGTTTTTGCCACCCATAGCTTGATGCCCATAAAAAATCTATTAGAGGTCACAACTCATAATAAATTATAGTTGTTTCAAATCCTTTTTTTTTGAATTTTGTACTTAAAGAACCAATAAAAATATCAACAAACAAATACTAATAAAACATAGGATTTATATATGTAGTGAAAGTTGAGTTAAGATCTAAGATTAAGTTCTACGAGATTATAAGGGATGGGAAGAAGGTTGGGTTGGGTCCAACCTGAGCCCAGCCCAACCCAAAGTTGGCTTTGGATTAGGTTGGGTTGGGTTAGGGTTGAAGGAATTTAGTTGGGTTAGGGTTGTATAGGTCGGGTTGAAGGGCCAGATTGGGTTAGGGTTAGGGTTGGGGGTTTAGAACTTAGGGTTGGTCTAGAGTTGGCCTCAACCCGACCTAACTCAGCCCGACTTGCAGCCCTAGTATAGAGAAGCACCTTTGTTCTTCCTAATTATAATAAAAAGGAAAAAGCTGTAATAGTTCCCTAAGACCTAAGTCACTTCCCCTTACCTCAATCATCTCTTCAATACCTATGTATGTAGGAAATCTGGCACATGGACTCATTCTAATTCTTTATTATTCTATTTTTCAACAATTACACTGTCTTATGTGCGAAGAGGCTAGGTTTATTTTATATCCTTAATTTGTCAACTTATGCTTTCCCTTTGCTATCATTTGTTATAAAATTAATATTTTATGCTACTTTGGTGAGGTTTCTCGAGACCCATGTTTTTTCCCGTTAAGAGTGCTTTATTGCTTAATTGCTTGATTTGCTTCTTATACTATTGCTTTTGTAATTATCATTGTTGCTACATGCTTATATCATTTTTTGCTAGCATCTATCTCTTGCTGAAAAAAAGTTAAGGTCTTGGTAATCCCCCAAAATGCACTTATTTGCAGAAGTACAGTTAATCATATGACTATTTTACTGGCTTTCACATATTCCTGACTGGCATTGGTAGAATCATAGAAGATGCTTTGTACATTGTATGGACCTCCTATCTTACGACCAATATATTATATTCTTATACTAAATCAACCCTAGCTGGTAAGAAATCCATTTATGGCGAATGAAATTTTGTGTTATGAAGATTTTATGGGAAAAGTTCATGAGGTACTTTTGTGGTTGGTCGTGTGCCCAGTCATCTTCTATAATAATATTTATATTATTCAAATTGGTGTCTTTGACTAAAAGCAACTCTTACTTAAAAAGTTGCGAGTGGATAACTGTTCCTCTTCTTCCCCACCACGAGCTCATGATAACGCCTCTGCCTAATAGATGCTAAAACAGTCAGTCATAACCAAGTACAAACTCTAAAAAGGTATCTGCATATATTTCATGCCTTTTGCATACAATACAACAATTCACCTGATGCTTCTGCTGTTAGTTTCTGTATTATGAGAAGATGTTATCCAAGCAACAACTCTGTCTCTGTCTCTGTCTCTGTCTCTGTCTCTGTCTCTCTCTCTCTCTCTCGTGTGTGTGTACCTTTTCAGGGACAGAATTTATGGAGCTTTTAACCAATTTTAAATTTTGACCAAATAATTGAAAGGAGAGTGCACTCAAATTATTCTTGTGTAATATATTTGCCATAAGCTGAATTGCTTACTGTTCTTGACTCATGAATCTTGGGAATTAAATCAAATGAAGAATGATAGTAGCAAATACATACACAAAGTGAACCTAAACCAGAGGAAAGGGCAAGCTTCTCATCAGTGCCTTTGTTTATGATAGTGTTTAACTTACCTGGACCGTGCAGGTTGTTATATTATTATTGGTATTCATGATTTTGTTGTTCTTGTTATGATTTCTGCCAAATATTGCATAGGTGTTCTGTTTAGAGCACAGAAGTTATGGCAAACACTGCTGTCCAAATGCTGACAGGCAGGATGTCACTGTTGTCATCTGCCCTCTCTGTGCTAAAGGAGTTCGCCTAGTCCCTGATGAAGATCCAAACATCACTTGGGAGTCACATGTTAACACTGATTGTGACCCATCGAACTATGAGAGGGCAACAAAGAAGAAAAAATGCCCTGTCCCTGGTTGCAGAGAGCCTTTGACATTTTCAAACACGATCAGATGCAAGGACTGCACCATTGAGCACTGCTTGAAGCATCGATTTGGACCTGATCACAAGTGTCCTGGACCCAAGAAACTTGATGCTGGGTTCCCATTTATGGGTCTTTTGAGGAAAAGTCAAAAAGAGGATTCTAGAGCCAACCGCAGTGCATCTGCATCATCATCGAAGTGGGCAACAAGCTTTCTCAACGCAGCCTCAAGTGTTCGAGCTTCTGCTGAAGCAGGAATGGCGAAGTTGAGCATTGCAACTAGCCAAGCATTGCAGATGGCAAAGGATGGAATTGGGCCAAGCAGCAGTGGCAGTAATGGACAAGTGGAGGAGTGCCCTCAGTGTCAGGCAAAGTTCACCTCTGTTACAGCTCTGGTGGAGCATGTGGAGAGAGTCCATGAAAAAGGAGGCAACCGAGCTGGAATTAAGAAGGTTACAATTGATGTTTGCCCCAAATGTAGTAGAGGGTTTCGAGATCCAGTATCCCTGGTAGAGCACGTTGAGAGAGATCATGGTGGCACTTCTAAAGCATGAAGCAAAATGTATCAATTATACATCATTAATGAGATTCACATATACATTCATCATGAAATGCCTTGTACTTTTACCTGTATTCTTCCATTGTTTCAAGGGCAACTTGATAATATGTTGGATACTTTTTGAGCTTTCAAGCAAATTTTATCATGTTTTTCTGGACAAGTCACAATTTGCCGAAGTTATTAATTACAGATAAAGCTAAGTAGCTTTTTGATATCCAGGCAAGATGAAGTTGTAACCGGTTTCAGACTGGAGTAGCCAATGACAGAAGTTAGTTATTAGGTCTCAAATGTCTAGTGGAAGACCACAGACTCAAACTTTTGTTAAGCTTGGGTGATTTAAAAAATGTAAAAAATTGCCCTTTGAGAGGGCAAGATTACTATTGACTACAAGCAAAAAGAATTTGTGCTTCAAGTTCGAAAAACAAAAGGAGATTCCTAGCTAATTATCATCAGTTACAAATAAATCTCTTTTATTGACTAACTTTACTCGTCAAAGTTATCAAATAGATACCAAATGTACGATTTTTACTTTTCAACTGAATAGTATATTTAATGCCCTCTATATATGCACGAAAAAAATATACAAGGAAAGAAGTTTATCCATTCTAGAGAAAGTACAGATAAGGATCCAGTTATCTGGGTGTTTAAGAAGAACCCAGAAGCAAGGCACCACAACAAAAAAAGAAGAGACGATTTCCCCAAAGTCAATTCTATCATCTGTCCTAAACCGAAACGCAGAAAGCATACTGGAACGAGGAAAATTAGCATGAGATGTAGGCTGCACGCTTGTGATTACAGTTCCATCTGTCTAGGTCCATTGGGACAGGGACTTACAATACAAGATGTAAGGCTCCAACTTATTTCTTCACCATTCATTTTTTTTTAATACGTCATTCAGTTACCAAGGGCGGGCCTAATTGCTCATGAGAAGGTTTAGAACATGTTGAAAAGAAGATTGAACACACTCTTTTTCTGATGGAGGGATAAGAACATTGAAATTCTAGTAAAAAAATGACAATCACCTTCTCTCGAGGTTCCATTTCAAGATAATAATGACAACTATACAAGTTGTGTTAACTTATCAAAAAAAAAAAAAAAAAAACTATACAAGTTTTGTTGCTCAGAAATGGAACTTCAGGCAAAATACATAAAACTAAATCGCATGAGACGTCCTTCAACAAGTTACCAGTACATTTTCAACTACCATTTAGGGGATGAGATGTTTCAAAAATCCATACATTGAAAAGGAAACTCTAGTGTTTGTTCTCAGTGGCATTCTCTTCCTTTCCAATACACTGCTTTCTTTAAAATGGCTTCTATTGGCTGGTGGAATTCTCTACAGCTTTGGAAATTGCCTGCCATCTCTCACCATGCTTTGGTTCTGCAGCAATACATCTCTTCAATACATCCTTTTGGTTCTCCTCAGTATCATGTTGAAGTTCGAACTTGTAGTATAAGGCCCAGGAGCCCCCAATATCTGGGGAAAGAGTCACCGCCCTATTGAGCCAGTTTCTGGCTTCATCCATCTTCCCGTCATGCCAAAATAGTTTTGCCACAGCAGCAATGACATAGAGGTCATGATCACATCGCTTCAGTGCATCCATGCTCTTGGTTTTCCTTTGGGGGCGTGGGACCATTTCGATTGATGCTGCCCAGAGGATAAAACTTGTGGGGCACTCCTGCAATGCCTTTACCATCAAATATCAGCTTCTTTCTTGTTCCCGTGTCTTAATTCAGCTTGAACCGCAGCATGCCAAAGCTCAGGATTCTGGGGATTTCTTCCAAGTTAGAAAGTGAGAACCACAGAGGAAGCTAGGGCAGTGCTTCAAACCTGAATCATAAACTTCCCTAGCTTGCTCTAGGTGACCCAGTTGGTCCTCTAGCTGTCCAAGCATGAGCCACAATTTGAAAAAGGTAGGGAGGAGTTTTAGCCCTTCCTCAAGCAATCTCCTCTCCTCTGAAGTATTCCCTAATTCTCTCTCAACAATTGCTGATCTCATCCATACTCTCTCTGTGCCTCCTCTTTCTTAGGCTTTAGCAAGAAGCACCCTTGCCCTCTCTGGCTCATGGTTCTCAAATTCCAGCTTGAAAACTGCAAGCCAGATTTCCTCAGAATTAGGAATTGTTTGCATATGCTTCCTGGAGAATTGCTCGAGCAGCAGCGACATCTCCAGCAAGCCACTTCTCTCTGGCACCCATCAACCAAAGAACCTCAGCCTGTGGCCTATATGTGGCTGCCTTCCGAAGTAGTGCATCAAGGGATTTCCTAGTCCCATGACTCTTCTCTAGCTGTGCTGCTTTGAGCCATATACTCTTCTTAGTCAGGAAAACAGTAAGTGTATGAGCATAGATGGCCCGTGCAGTCTCGATGGAACCCCTCTTCTTACACTCCTCTGCATCAGCAACCCATGTCCTCTTTCTGTCTTCCTCCTCAACACCAATTCCAATTGTGTAATACATTATAGCCTGACATGTTGCAACTTGCAACAGATCCAGCCCGTTCAGCAGCCTCAGCCTCCATCCAAGCTTCTCTATCAATTACTACTTTTCTCAGAGACCTGATACCCCCCCTTTCTATTATCTTCCCAACCATGGCAGTATTCCCATTAGCTTCTTCAAGCTTTGCAGCTGTAATCCAAATGGCTAGCTCCTTCGGGAGTTTATTTTATTTTTATCAATATCCTTTGGAAGTTTCTCCCTTGCCTTGTTAAGAACCTTCTTTGCATTCTCATAAGTTTCTATCCTTACAAGTGCAAGCCATAGCTCAACATGTAAGGGGCAGCACTCTACAACCCTTTGAAGCAAAAGCCTGCATCCTCCTCATTTGCCAGTTCCACCACTGCCTTCCAGAGCCTAACAGAATAAGGGATGTGCTCCAGCCCTTTCCTCAAAACTCTACTCTTGTTTACACCATCATGCTCCAGTTTTACAACCTGCATCCACAGCTTCAAGGAATTGGGAATTGACTTAACCCCCCTAGCAATTACAACCTTTGCATCACCTGGGCTGCATCCACTCTTCTCTGCAACTTCCTCAAGTCTTGCAGCTGCTATCCATCCTGGTGGGTGATTTGGGTTTGTCTGTGTAACAGATTTGAGCAATAACCTAGCCTTCTTGATGTCTGAAATTTCTGTATCACTTGTAATCTTCATACTTTTGAGGTCAGTAAGATACCCCTTAGGATCAACCACTGTTAGCCCTGTAACAGAATCCGAGAACATATCCAACTTCAATGACAAAACAGCTCCTCTCCCTTCTCCAACAGCAGTTAAATCCGTTACAGGAGTCTGAGCCCATGGAGTCTCAGTTCCACCAGCAGCCCTACTTTTGGGATCTAGAGAGGTTACATGCTCCTGTTCTTGCCTGGCCTTCTCAAGCAATGTATCTGGCACTGGCACAAAACTCTCAAACTGTTTCTTCTAATTCCTCAAGGAGTAATCCCAATCTGTTGAAATCTGTCCCATTCCTGTGCCGATAAAGTGTATAGCTTCCTCTTCAAATCCGCGAACTGTTCTGTGATCTTTGGATTCGAAGTTCAGTACTTCTCAATCTCCTGCTTCAACCTGGCTTCCCTTTGATCCTTCCTCCTAAAGTCCATCCACTTATCAATGCTCTCCCAAATGGTATCTGCTTCCTTATCATCCTCGTCATACTCCATGAAAGCAAAAAGCCCAACATCGTTCCCTTCGAACTCATTGAACTTTTGGTTCTCATCGTAACCTTTATCATTTGCTTCTTCCTCCTCCTCATCTTCACCACCAGGGCCTTTCCCCCTTCCCTTGCCAAGGCCAGTGGCACCGCCAATTGTGGTGGCAGACTGCTACAATCCATTTCTCCATGTTGGTAGGGTTCGGATCCGGATCCGCCCCCCACAGGTTTGCCCCGCAAAAACATCCAACGGACTCATAGCGCGCCGCGTGTCCTCCCACATGCGAATTAGACTCTCGTACGGAGCTAACCCACTTCGCCCAAAAGGTCATCCCCTCTTAGATTCTCAATCCTCTCTCTTTCGAATTTCGAGTTCCGCCGATCAACGCCGACGGTCGTTCCGGCAGATTTATTTACCGGAGGTAAGTTTTTCTTTATTCTCAGTTCTCATATCTGTTTTTTTTTCTCATTTTTTACGTTGTTTTTTGTTTTTTCTGATTTTCTACCTTCCGTTCTCAGATCTGAAACCCACTGGAGCTTGCTCCCCTTCGAGTTCCGCCAGGAGCAAGGCCTTTGGCCTTTGCAACGAGTTAACCAAAGTCTTACCCACTTGTACTATGATCCCACAGGAGCAAGGCCTTTGGCCTTTGCAGCAGTAACAAGTGCTGAAGCTGTATTGGGTGCAGAGGGAGGGACAGGTGCAAACTATGAACTATCCTACGAAGGTTGCTGTTGAAGCTGCAAGAATGTTAATCCAAACATTCTGAGGATTAAAAAGTGTTAAAGGTGAGGTTAGTCGGATCAGATGAGCCTGCAAGTCAATGAATAAGTGTCAAATATGACTGCATATACAAATACATATATGAGAACTGAGAATAAACAGGTATGAGAACGGAACTTACCTCCGGTAAATAATTCTGTCGGAACGATCATCGGCGTCGACCGGCAGAACTCGAAGGGGACAAGCTCCGGCGCGCTGTGAGTCCGTGGGATGTTTTTGGGGGGCGGATGCAAATACAAGGGATAATGTATCCCACAGTAGTATGGAATGTTGTTGTGGATATATATGTGCTTGGTTTCCTCCCTTTAGGGGTGAATTCTCCTAAGGCATATAACAAATGATATCAAAGCATACCTCCCGGTTGTAATCGTGCGGCATAGGTTGTAACGTTGGTATTGTAGTGTTCAGCTATAGTGCAAAGCCAGCTTGCGTAGGCACTTGAATTGCAAAGCGTGATAAAATGTTACGATTCATTTGTCCCATGTTGGTAGTGTGGACTACTAATGTGAGGTCACATCGATAGTAGTGTGGGAATTTGTTGTGGGTATATATGTGCTTGTCCTCCCTCTAACATCTAACATCTAGATTTTAGGGGTGAGCTCTCCTAATGCACATGACACAGACCAACACTCGTAGGACCAATATCAGACCGGGTTATGAAACCCGTGGCACCTCGACAGTTGCTCAACCAAGACCAGCCACAGTTGAGAGGGGGTTTGGTATTGAGGAACTCAACCGGGGTTTTGGGAAGACAGGAGCTTGCATTCCTCCCAATAGAGGGACAT